TCACTTTTATTATGATATCTATTTATATATATGTATGTTTTTTTAATTACTTTTCTTTTAACTTTTGTATTTTATGAAACTGTACCACTTTGAAAAACAGTACACAAGTACTGAAAGTGCATGCAGTAGAAAGACAGAATAAATAAATAAATAAACATTGAATGAAATCAAGAATTTGGCTATAAAAATGTAGAATGTCTGCCAATATGTTCTGTTTCACTAATAAATGCTAAAAGAAATTTGTTTTATATAATTTCATATGGTCCATCAGCCGTTCCTGGAGAAATGTGCAGGCAAGTTGTGATGCCGGCCAATCATGTGAACTCACCAGAATCTTTTCAAGCAGACCCAAATCAACCCGAATCAGTGGTAAGTATCTCCATTATATATATGCAAGTGCATGTATGTATAGATAATCAGTGTACAATGTTGTTTTCTTCTTTGAGGTCATGGAAATTTGATTTTTTACCCAATTTTTTTATACCTTGTTTAATGAACCCGCAAATAATGATGATTTTGAATAAAAATAATTTTATGTTTGGCCAATTAGTGTATGGCTGCCATGAAGAAAATTTGAGAAAAAAATGAAAGTTTTTCTTTATTTGATAATGCCATTTGCTGAATTGAAATCTCCAAATTATGATATGTATATTTCTTCCTAATTATTTAAATTTAAAGCATAACCTTCTCATTACTACACTGTTTACATTTACCAATGAAATTTTATTTTACTCTCTCCTCTGTCTGGATGTTTTTAGCAAAACTATTTGCTAAATAAGAAAACAAAACTTTGTTTTCATTTCTTTTCTGCCATTCTCTGATGATCTTTAAAAAAATAGTTCGCAAAACAAGGAATAAAAAGAGTCTGGTCCAAGCATAAAAGAAAATTTCCCAAATTAAAGCCACGTTCATATCAAGCCCGGATCCGGTTTGGAGCCCGGACAAAAAATTGTGAGTTGCTACGTTTTTTTAACGCTGCCTTCATGTTGCGCAGAGAACATGGTTGTGTGGGTTAAGTACGCATGAGTTCAATTGGTTTGAACCAACCAAGTTTGTTGCTGATTGGTCCAAGAAAACGTACGATTTCAGGATACAAATGGCTGTCAGATCCATCAGCCCAGATCCGGAGTCCTAATTGGAAATCGTACCACTGAACCCATTTTTCACGATTTTTTCTCCGGTTTCTGGACCGGAATTCGGGCTTGCTGTGAACGTAGCTTAAGGCACGGTAGAAAATAATGGAATTACCCATATGGTACATATCCTGCATATTGTTCTGTATTCAGGTGCATGACTGAGGTATGTACTCGATGTCGTGAATGCTGTAGTATATTATCTCACTACTGACTTTTATACCGGTTTGTGTTTGACACCTGTTTAAGATGAATAATTGTACATTTTTTGAAATATTTAGGTCTGGGAATTTAGAACTTCAAATCCACACCCAAATGCGAATTGTCACAAAAATGTAATCATTTCTTCCTTGTAAATTTGTTAACTCTTCCAGAAAGTTCATTCAGATTAGTTGTTCAGTTCTTGAGATATCTGGTCTGGAACGTTTCTCTTTAAGTGGTCTTCATATCCACACTCTATTCCAGATCGTCAGCAAAATTTAATCATTTCTTTCTGGTATGACAAACCATTCTATAAATTTCATTCAGATCCATTGATCAGTTTTTGAGTTTATTACCTGGAACGTTAGCAGCACCTTAAATGATGCCCCCACCAAAAATGAATAGTGTCCTCCTTGTAAATTGGTTAACTCATCCGAAAGGTTTCCTACAGATCAGAGATGAGTTTTTGAGATATCTAGTGTGGTTGTTGATGGTTTCTTTAATTGGCCTCCACAACCTACCCTGGATCATCAGCAAAATACAAAGGAACCTTCCATTTAATGTCAGAAATGAAAAATGACAGTAATGAAAATGAAAATGTAGTAAAGATAATGGTAATTTACTTAATTGTATTGTAATTATTTGTAAATGTCTACAAAATTACAGTGTCTTTGAACTAAAAACCTCAGAAGTCTGCACACAGACTGCATCACTATCTTGCCAGATACCCATTTTACACATAGGTAGAGCGAAATAGGAGCAATTATTGATCCGTTGATCTCCATGGTTCAGTGCATACACTGCCTGAAGAGTACCCAGAGGGGGTGCTGCGTTATGGAGAGTAATGTGTGACCGGAAATGGTCTGTAGTCAGTTGGTTGTTGCCATGCGCCAGTGATGTTGGAGTACAGGAAGATGAAACTATTTACGTATTAATGCATGAATAAAGTTCAGGGTTTGTCGCGTAGTGAAATGATTATTGTACATTTTGAGTGCTCCCTCCATGCATAAGTGTAAGCTAAATTACGGTGATTAATTAATGAAGATATGGAAACAATTATTTTGAAGTTCCCTCTTTCCAAGAGGGGATGCAAATGCTTTGTGAAAATGAGTATACTGCGGTACTCATTTTCACAAAGGAATACACACAACTGGTTAGCTAACAATATAATAATGTTACATGAACACCTGGGAAGGAAGGTGCAATCACGTTCTGTTGCCTAGCAAACGCTTGGGGTGGGGGCTAGCTTACTGATGTACTGTATAGCGGGGGACGATGAGGCATAATAAGACTAGGCCTAGGTAGACAGTGCAATTATATGTGATAGAAAGTATACTTCTGAAAGAAATAAATTAAAATAAGAAAAAAAAAAATAACTAAGAATAATTCATTTGCAGAGGTACGTTGTTTAAGTATTATACAATGCTAACAATGTGCCTCTTGTAGCCCTAGCTAGGCAAGGCATTTATGTGCAAAGCAGTGGTGTTTGTTTATCGATAAAAAACATGCCGGGAAAGTTTGCCTTGCCAGGAAAAGGTGACGTAATCTAGCTTATGACGTATGCATGCTAACAATATTGTGAGTGTGACGTCACAAAAAAATAAAAATTTTCTATTATAACTAAAATATTAATAACTACAAGGTTTGTGGGCGTAAATTCCCTTAATACGCGTAGCTGAAGTTTTTCTTACAAATCTGACTACGAAACCATATCAAAATTTCACGTTCCACTTCTGACTCTGAGTTTTGCTGAGGGCGGCGTTCCGGGAAGCCTGTGTTGCATTCTGAAAATAGTAAACACTGTAGTAACCAGATTGTCAGTAACAACATCATAATATATAATACCTGATTACTATATTTTTTGTGCATGTGTTTTCAGACCATGCCTCAAACTCAACCAGCTGGAATGGGCCAGAATGCAACTCAGACACCAACGGCTGATCCTGAAACGCGTAAGCTAATTCAGCAGCAACTGGTTCTCCTACTGCACGCACACAAGTGCCAACGGCGGGAAAGCCAGGCCAAGGGAAACATCAAGCAATGTTCGCTTCCACACTGTAGGACAATGAAAAATGTCCTCAACCACATGACGCACTGTAAGGCTGGCAAAAATTGCACAGGTAAGAAGAATGGAGATTGTAGTGTAAACTTTGACATTGAATTAAAGCCCATTTTATAGTATGTTCCCAGGGAAGCTCATATAAACTATATTTTACTGAAGTTTAATATTTGAATAATAGTGTTTCTATTCTCAAGCAGTCATGTACAATATTCTCTATTTCTTGGAGAATTATTACAGTTTGTAAGGATCTGCAAATAATAATAATAATTTATATTGCGCAAATTCCATAAAAGAAATATTCAAGTGCGCATTACAATAAAATTGACAGGTATAAAAAATTTACAATATAAGGTTCTTAGGAACAACTAAAAATTCTTGCAGCATAATGAATTAAGTCAAGTATATTCCATCACATTAAAAGTTTAAATTAACATAGACTCACTTAGATATTTATTCTGTTTACTTGTTCTTCCTTAAGGTCTAGTTAACAGCTAAAACATGTTTAAAATATAAAATAATATATAAAATAATATTACGAAATTATATATAAAATCCATTGAAAGTTGGTAAAGCACAAGAACCAAGAAGAAAAAGTTTTATATCAAATCAAATTTTTTCGAGGAATGCAAAGTTAACAGATTTTTTTGAACTGTGACTATCAGGGAGAGGTTATTCCACAGTTAACTGAACCTTATTTGAATGTTTTTTACTTGACAGTCCTACCAGGTACCCATTACCTGGGTAACAAGAGAAGTAATGCAAATATAAAGTATCTTGACAAGGATATTAAAGTCTTCACCTCATAATAAAACTTCTGACTCAAAAGCCCAAAAGCCTTACTGTTAAGCCATGCTTCCACAAAATGTAACTCAATCCCTATTAAGAGTTTGCCTGCCATGAATTTACATACAAATAAAGCTATTATTTTGTATTAAAATGCTTAATCTTAATTTAAGATTCATTATGGTGTGAAGACAATGAATTTTTTTAACAATATATATTTTAGATCAAAATTGTGAAATTATTAAAAATCATTACAAGTATTAAAATAAAATCCAATTGAAAGTTTCCACATTTATAATACCAAGGAAAAATGATATCACTTCTAAATAAGTACCTTATAACATAGAAAAACTATATTAAATTGAAACATTGTTAATAATTAATAAGTAATTTGGATAAAACTGATAGATTAATTTAGTGATTTTAAAGTTAAGTAAAAAAAAAAATGTTGGTGCATTTAGAACTACTCAATCCCAACATCTTTTCAATGTTTGGTTCACTAAATTAGTAAAGAAATAAATATGCCACTCAATATTGAAATGAAATTTTGAAAATTATAAAAAGCAGCAACATTGAAATGGTCTTGTATTTAGGATAAAATACATTCCAGAAAGACAAGGCTCAAAGCATTCCAATTTTCTACTGATTATCATGCTTCAGAAATTCCAAAAGCATAGAACGCATAATAAAAATAGTAAAGTAAATTACAAACTACTTATTAAGGTATCTATTGGTACTTCTCATTTTAGTATTATTATTTTTTCATTTTTAGTATTTTAGACCAGGGTCAATAACCTTTGACCCTTCATAAAAAAATTTTCCCCACCCCCTAGCCCACCTAACTTTTTTTTTTGGTGTATCCTGGCATGTATCCCTACACAAATCAGTTGAAATCTGCTTCTTTCTATTTTTTTCACAGATTGGCCCAAATTTTGGTTAATTTTGGGATACTAATTGTTGTCCTGTTTGGAACAAAGGAATCTTTGATTCTCTATCAGTTGGGTGTTGATCTACAATATAGTAATCTTGATTTTGAAATGCTTGAATACTAATTAATTATATCCTTGTTTTTGTGTGTGAACGACGGCTAGGTTCTGTGGAGTTGTTAATATATGCTGAATTCATTTACTGTATCGTTGTTATTGACCTGAGCTTGCTTGTTGATTATCATTGTGTCGGTTAACATCAAATACTCATGAATTAAACTCATGCATATTCATGAATTTAACTCATAATACATATTCATAAATTGAGCTCAGTGATCAAAAATCTTCTTAATGAATAATTTATCTATTTTTCTAAAATTTTAAAGATAAAAAATATATTCTTCCCTGAAAAAAAAAAATCTGTTCAACAGTTTTTTATTTTATTTTTTTCAGGAGATCATACTTCTATAAGTATTTATATATTTCCTATGTATTTGGTTCTCAATTGGCTACTATATTTGTTCTGCTCACTTCTTTACTCTATTCTGCCACTTTTTTGGTCCTTCCTTGGGCTATATATTTACACTTTTTGATTTTATCTTTAGCTTGACAAAGGTTTATTACCAAAAAACATTTGCTGATTTATTTCGCAAATATTCCTGAAAATATAGTACCATAATTTTTGTGTAATTTACTGCTTTTTGCCAATGTAGCCAAACAGTTTTTTTAATGTATGTAATAGCATTAGCCATGTACTTCTGGTAGAATAATGATTAATTTACCCCTTTAGGGACTAAATTAAGTATTTATTGAAACATTTAGTAAGTGTGCTAACTTAGTCTCAAATGTGCTACCTGTTTCTTTTGATCAAAAGAACATGTTGTAATTGATAGTTGTTTACATGGTAGCATATATTCTAATTTTGCTGAAACGACCATCCTTCACAAAATTAATCAATGATTATATTATATTTATTTAGCTGCCCAGTTGTTAAAGCAAGCTGCCGGAAATCCAGCTATGGGACCGAATCCACCACCAAGCTCACATATGAACCAGACGTTGATGTTACAGCAGGAATCTATTGCACGGACGTTGGATCGGCTAGGATTGAGAAATACAGGCATGACGCCAAGTAAATATCAAACTTTGTTTTGTTAATTAGTATTGTCAAAGCTTCAGCCTCACTTTGAGAATAATATTCTAACCACACTCCTATTTACATGTATGCGACAAATGTCATGGATGATGTGCCATGTCCATATCACACAAATTTGTCATAACTTTGAAGTGTGGACAAAGACATCCTGACAGTCAGTCAGTTGGTAATGGATGTCAGATAGCGTAGCAAAATACAATAATCAGAAACCATATCTCCCTAAATTGGCTTCTACTGTTCCTGACATTAAATTTTCTTTAAAATTCGCATTTCCTGACATGAAATTTTCTTTAAAATTCACAGATGATGTCCTGAGTGCGACTGGAAACCTTGCATCTATGACTGCAGCGAAGTCGCAGCCATGGCATAGCCATGTCACTCAGGATCTTCGTAATCATTTGGTCCATAAATTGTAAGTTTCTACTTAATCCTTAAGTCTTTTTTTATATATGTAAATATACTAGTTGGTAAAATTTGAAAAACCCTAATATATTTAATTATTTTTTCATTTTGTATTGTAAATGTGTGAACGCACCGTCTCTTAAGAACGTGTGCCACTGATTTAAAAGTGTATGTTCAATAAAGTTATGATGACCCTTATGATGACCCTAAATTGGCTTCTACTGTTCCTGACATGAAATTTTCTTTAAAATTTACAGATGATGTCCTGAGTGCGACTGGAAACCTTGCATCTATGACTGCAGCGAAGTCGCAGCCATGGCATAGCCATGTCACTCAGGGTCTTCGTAATCATTTGGTCCATAAATTGTAAGTTTCTACTTAATCCTTAAGTCTTTTTTTATATATGTAAATATACTAGTTGGTAAAATTTGAAAAACCCTAATATATTTAATTATGTCATTGATTTTCTATTTCAAAATGTCGCGCAAGTTTTATTTTATCAACTCACAATGAGCCAAATTCAAACAATTCTCTTTTCACTTACACATTCTTTACTTTAAAAAATTATATATTCACTGCTAACCAATTAAAGAGTATGCAAAAATATGGGATCAGTATCATTTTGTTTAAATGACAAGGAAATATTTTTTTTGTTCCAATTTTCATTATAACATACTAATTTTTAAAATAAACAATGTAAGTGAATATAGCATTTATTAAGTTTATTAGTATTGTACAATTATATTTATAAAGAATATGAATAGAAAATGAAAGTAACTTTGTCAGACTAAAGTTACATACAAATAGATGTATAACTACACATGAAAAGATTACAGATAAACTGAATAAAACTACACACACGTACAGACTATCAGCAGCTGTCAATGTCCTTATTATTTGTTCTTTACAGAGTTCAAGCAATATTCCCCTCCCCTGACCCTGCTGCTGTTAAAGATAGACGTATGGGGAATCTAGTAGCATATGCATGCAAAGTTGAGAAAGATATGTATGAAACAGCTAGCAACAGGGTAAGAATCAGCACACATCAAATCATTTTGAATAACATGTATTATATATTTATGTATTTATATAATTTATGGGTCTACATCTATATGTCACCATAAGATATTGTTTAAAAAGTTCATATCTATATATATGATAACATTTTTTGGAGAGAAAATATATTTTTCCTTTAGGATTTGGACCTTACAATTACATTTCAAATGCTCTACCAACTAAACTACATTAGGCCAAGATGGATAAAGCCCTTGGATTTTCCTGTGTGTGTTTATCTGCTATCTAGACCCTATTCATCCAATACTGGGTATAGCTGTTGATATTGTATTTATACCTTTGGTTGACCCATATATTGGCATGAAGATGTCATATATGAGTGAATTACATGCATTTGTTTCATATAACTTGATAGCTTTAATTTTTGTTTAATTCTGTTTTGTGCAGGAAGAGTATTATTATCTTCTGGCTGAGAAAATTTATAAAATTCAAAAAGAACTGGAAGAAAAGCGGATGAAACGGATACAGGACCAGACCCAGACTGGTTCCCCTCAGCCTCCAACACCATCTCAGGTGCCTTCCCGTCAAGCTACACAAAAGATGCTGTCCTCGCATACTGTTCCTTCTGGAATTGGCATGATGAGTAAGTGGAGATGCATGAATTTATCTGTGTATTATAAACAATAATAATAATGGTAGTGCCTAACCCATAACTGTAAATTTCACTGATAAATGCTAATAGAAATTCCTTTTATATAATTTCAGATGGTCCAACAGCAGTTCCTGGACAAACTGGTGGGCCAGTTGTGGTGCCGGCCGGTGTGAACTCGCCAGCATCTTCTCAAGCAAAACAGATACAGGACCAGACCCAGACTGGTTCCCCTCAGTGTCCTACACCATATCAGGTGCCTCAACAAGAGATGCTGTCCTCGCATACTGTTCCTTCTAGAACTGTCATGATGAGTAAGTAGAGGTGTATGAATTTATGCCATTTCCTACCCTTATGTTGATTCAGTGTTACTGAACTGGGCTTCTGTCAGCAGATCAGCACATCATAATATATATATAAATATTGATAAAAGGGATTGTCTCTAATGATGATACTGAGTTTTTAGTGTTTTATTCAACATTTTCTGTTCTGAAACAGTATCAACAGATGACAAATCTGAGGGAATGTCACAAGGCAATATCAACTCAACCCAAGAGTAAAATATACTCTTTTCAACATAATGAAAGTATCTATTTTGTTCTATTTATCCAATAAAATTGTTCATGGGTGCTACCAATTAAAATTTTGAAATTTTTAGCTTCATTACCAATACCAGGATATAAATAAGTGATACATAAATATTCCTTGAAAACCATTAATTTGCATTTTATATTTCAGATGTGTGCAGTCTTTTTTTTAATATATGCATAGGAAAGACATGGTCGAGATCAATGATGCCTTAACTAATCTTGATATTATAACCAACACAGCCTTTTGCCACCTGGCCTTTTGTTGCCCGGCCATTTGCCACCTGGTCTTTTGCCACCTGACCCGTACATTATAGCAATGAAACTTTCGGCATTTTTGCCAAACCATGTGCACTGAATGATGAATGGATTGATTGTTATAAGTGTGCTAATTTATTCTCAAATGTGCTATCTATTTTTTTGTTTTTTTTTATCAAAAGAACATGTTGTAATTGATAATTGTTTACATGGCAGCAAATATTCTCCTTCTGCTGAATCAACCAACCTTCACAAAATTAATCAATGATTGTATTATATTTATTTAGTTGCCAGGGTTCGAAATAACGCTGGTCCGCCGGCCAATGGCTAGTAAAATGCATTACGAACCTGTTAATTATCTCAATAACAATTCCGCGTGACCAGTTAAAATGTCAATAAAAGTCTGACGAAATACCTAAAGCTTAACTCATTCACCTCTTAATGATGTCTTTACAATATATTACACACAGATAATATCAACAAGATCGCTATTTTCTGTTTATTGTCACGTTAATGTCCGCTACAAACAACCTTGGTCTCAGTCATTCAAGGCCAACCGATGGACATCACGCACTAGCTAGACCATTGAGGAATCCATGGCTAGACGTACAGAGGGAAATCATCTTCTCCGTATGTTATAGCGACAAGGAGAAGTTGATTTCCGTCTGTGTGAGCACCGTGAAGTTAAAACATCCATGTCATGTATCCATCCCACAATGCAACGTGGGACAAAAGTTAATAAACAACGCAATGATTTCCAGACGAAATAACGCAATAATCACACCCCGTGAATGAACCGTTCGTACAGTCCCAATAGCATTGCCATGGAGATTATCTATTAATTAAAACGACACACCATTAAAATGTTAGATAAAGTGAAAGTTCCGCCTTCCATTGTTTTAATAAAGTTCATTATCGCCTTATGAATACTTAAAAATCGACTGTAATCAACCTGAAATGAAAAAGGAACTCAAAGCAATTGTTTCTACGACGGCTCTTTTTCAGTAGACATTTAAGTATGTCATTAGATTCATATATCAGTCTACATGTAGATTACACTCACATTCCCCAAAAACATTGCTAATTAGGGAGGGAATTTGCAGAGAATGAAATTTAAATTTGTTAGATTTTGTATCGGTATGCGTGATCGAGGGCAAGGCAAAAGAATCACAAAAGCTCGACGTTTTTGGCTCTTTTTCCTTAACTAAGGACATAAGGGAATAGGGCAATTTAGTAAGGGCCTGATCTAAAAGAAAAAATTGCTTTGGGGTCTTGTATATTGACATTCGCACTAGTTAACCACCGTTTCATGTTGCGCCCTAATTTGCCAACCCACTCCCTAGTTGACATAGAGAGTGGTTTGGTTGTCTGACGAAACTGTTTCCGATTTGCATCAGTGGTTAACTGGTACTTTAAAAGGATTGCTTTTAAAGTCCAGCATATGAAAATGGGATATCTGGCATGTCATTGAATGCCTCTCTGGCTTTACCAGTGAATTTGGGGAGGAGATTGAGGACATATTTTTGAAGTGGAATTTTGCATTGATGGGCAATCCTTTTGAAATATGTCATATATGTGTCAATATCCTTCTTTTCCGTAATCTTGGGGATTTTGTGAATCGGGCTGTTGGTGTTGTGTTGGGGTTGCCTACCAGCGTTGGACAATTGTACTTCTAGCTCTCTAATTTTTAGCTGGTATTCTAATTCTCTCACTTTCATGGCCATAGCCTGATTCTGAAAATATACATCATCGTCTAAGTCATCAGACAATGATTGCAGGTCAGGGGTATTAACGGCTGTCCTAGTATGGGACCTAGTTTTGTGTCTGCTAGCCATTGTTAACAAATCAAAAGTTCTAACAATATAGTATATATAGTCAAAATAAAATGAAATCAGATCAGTACTTTAAAACTAAATAAATTAAATACTTAATGAACACTATAAAAAGCCTTTGTCATAATTATAATGTACATAAACATGAAGATTGGTTACTCACCGTTCCAATGTGTCGTACGTATTCGTCTTTCTTGTGTGCCTGGAGATTGGTTACTCACTGCTCACTGTTCCAATGGTTAAATTCGTCTGTAACTTCTGAAAATCAGTGAAAGGGATTGAGGACCAGTAAAAATATTAATTTACTGGTCCACTTGGCTAATTAAAAAAAACCTTAAGGGAAACCCCTGAGTTGCCCAGTTGTTAATCAGCTGTCGGTAATCCAGCTATGAGACCGAATCTACCGCTGAGCTCGCATAGAGTACCACAGTCGTGTCGTCACGACGCCAGGTGGCGCTCTCTGTTGTCAACAGATGTTAATTACCATTTATTACGCCTGAATGACTTCATAGGCTTTCTGGAATAGGCATTTTAAAATCTAATATTTTACCATAAAAATGTACTAAAAACACAAAAGCTCGCATTATATTATTTATCGAACACACATTCAATCATCAATTAAAATTTACAAAGAAAAGGTAAGATATAACATCTTAATAATTAAAGTTAGAAATTGGGATCAATGGTTTTTCACTGCGTCCGGTTGAACGCTTTTTACAACGATAGCAACGGAGTAGTAGCACATAGTATTGTGACGTAACACTGTAGTACTCTATATGAACCAAACGCCGATGTTACAGCAGGAATCTATTGCACTGACGTTGGATCGGCTAGGATTGAGAAATACAGGCATGATGCCAAGTAAATATCAAACTTAATTTTTGCTGCGAGTCACCAGACGAGCAGCTACACTAATTTTGACGTATGCAAGTATAGATTTCGATTTTTTCCAGGACTCAATATGGATTTTTCAAAGAGCGTCGGATCGTTTTCGGTTTTCAGCCCGAAAGCGCAATGAAATCCGATTGCTTTTCGGAGCCTTTTCGAGATCCACATGGTCCCGGTGGCTTGGCTTTCAATTAAGGTCATTGTCAGTTTAGCTTGACAATATCGGATGTGTTCGTTTAGAGTTAGAATTGAATCGGTAAGTATTCCATTTTCAAACATTTATTATGTCAAGTCTTAGAAGTGTTAAAGTCATTATAATTTTAGTGATGTTTAGATCAGTGTGATTGTGTCCAGTTTGTGAAATTTTTAGTGCAGCTATGGTTGTGTTTTTTTATAATTTAATTAGGCCTAGGCGGAACGTCGCTAGTCTTTCAACTTGAGGCTAGGCCTACCCTGGTCTAACCTAATATTAGGTGCGGTATTCCATTAGCTTCTCTACCTAGGGTAGATCTAGGCTTAGGTTAAGTTAGGGCCAAGTGTCTAAATGAACAGCGTTATTTTTTTATTTTAAATTAGAAGTTGCCAGATTATTTCGATGTCTGTATGTGGCAACAGGCTCATCATAGACGCCATATTGTAATTTTTTGACGATAAATATTTTTTTCCATGATTATACTTAGGAGGTAGTTGTATATTTTGATCTCCAAATATCTTACTAATAAATCAACATTAAAATACTGAATAAAATAATAGTAATCGATAATTATATTGAATATATATGTTTAGTAAAACAGCTTTTATATGTGAATTTGGTAACAAATATTGAGCTTCAATCTTATATGTTAATTTACACAATCATGTACTTTCGTTTGCAGATTGTTGGTTGCACATGTATATATCGTTAGTTTGTCAGTTTCACATGTGTCCTGTGAAATTGATTTGGTAAGTGCTGTATTTTCAAACACTTATGTGTCCGTATTGCCTAATTAATGCTGTTGATTATGGTCATCATGTTAGTGATGTTTCTAGAAGAGGGTGATTGTGTCCTATTTATGAGTATTTAAGGCTAGCTATGGTTGGGCTTATAATTAATTAGGATGAAGGCCTTGCTAGTCTCTTCTATTTGACGTAATATTTGGAGGTAGGTGTATATTAATATCCAAATATCTTACTAATACAGTAAATCAACATCTAATAAAATATCTCATAAAATAATAGTAATCAATAATAATTATATTGAATATATATGTTAGTAAAACAGCTTTTTGTGTGAATTTGGTAACAAATATTGTGCTTCAATCTTATGTTAATTTACACATGTACTTATGTTTGCAGGTTTTTGGTGGTTGTACACAATCCAGGTCATTGTCAGTTTAGAGCTTGATGGTATTGCATGTTTTCATTTAGATAGATGGAGATAAGGAGTCTACAAGCTATCACATATTTACGATGAACTGCGGAAAAGACCTCAAATACCAACAGAGGGTGCACGTTATCGGTTGACATCGGCCGATGACGAAATGATCTGAGATTAGGTCATTTACCTGATGGAGATACTATTTCGAAACCAGTTTAAATACTGTAGTGTTTAAACAAGTTTAAATATTTAAAACATTTATTTAAATTTAATACTGAAAAGCATATTGTGGATAAAGCATTATTTTATTTAAAGAGTTTAATACTGAGGAGCACGATATGCATAAACCATTTTTTTTTTAACAGATTTAATTTCTGTGAGGCATGTTCTTC